GAAGACAAAATAGAGAGCACTCTTCTGCCAGATATGAATGATGACCGTTACTATTTATTGATAGTTATATCACATCACTCTGGTAGTTACGTAATAAAAATGTTAAAAGGACTCTTGTCCTCCATCCTATAGTAAGTTAGTGTAGTAACTTTATATGTAAGCAGGTTTTCATTTTGATCCCTCCCTATTCATAGAATAATGTATAAGCACTCTCTTACTAGAGTAAGAAAAATGCTAAATAAGACACTTAGAAAATGATCCCTAGTCACAACAGCATAACCAGGCAAGAATAAATAATGGGTTGAAACAAAAACTATTTAGATCACATTGATTTTATTTATTGAAATGAAGTCAGTGATGCATTTTATGAAAGCTCCTACTGGAAGCATATAAATGTGATGACACATCACAACAATAACTTGGTAACATGGCCAAGGCACACTGCACTCAAAATCAGTAGAGGACCAGTCGTCTTTACAAAAGACAAATAGTATGAGATTCATCATCATCATCATCATCAGTTAGTTTTACTATGAAACATAGATTAAAATGAAGATAATCTGCACTTTATAGCAAAGGAGAATACTGATCTTAGAACAGATCAAGTTTAGATAATCACAAAGTGAGGCAATGCATTTTCACTCAAAAAAAGCTCATTGGGATTTCAGTCTTAGACTGTATCAGAAGCAAACCTTTTCAACAAAAGGATTTTAAAAAACTTGCACATTGACCTGATAACTGATCAATACTTAGTAATCAAAGACACTGAAATGAAGTCAACTGAAAAAAATGTCCACACAAAAGACAATCAGAGTTTTTGATCAAAATGATGATCAACACTCAAGAAGTATACTTCATTTCATGTACCACCATAACGTGATGAAAGTTATTTATCATAGTAAAAACTCATTTACTTAAGGTTTGATATGATTCATGCACCATGCATGACATTGGTTCATTCTTAATATGAGAGATAATGTCACTCTGTTTCACTGTTTCCACAGGAAATGATGTTTTTCTTAACAAGAAAGTTTGAAATAGACAAAAGTATATAAACAGCCTTCTGTTCATACAGAAGAACAAGTCCTTAAATTTCATGGAATTCAGTTGCAGTAATCTTTGACCAACATGGTCACCTCAGTTTGTCTGCTAGTAAGTCCAGTCTGTAAGTGTCTACCACGGCCTCCAGAGGGCGCTGTTGACTGGACTGTTCTCTTTGGTGATGCTGGTCTGGACTGTGGAGCTCAGGAGAGAGAAGTCAGCCTCCATCAGGTTTTTATCAGAGGAAGACTGCAGCTTGTTGACAAGGTTCAGCAGTCTTCTCTGCTGTTGATTCTGCTGCTGCAGCTGTGTCAGGAAGCAAACGATCATCTCCAGGATGTCTGCTTTCTCCAGCTTGGAGTCTGGCTGCTGTTTGAGGAAGTCTGGACCCAGCAGAGACTTGAGCTGCTCAATGCTGCTGTTGATTCGCTCTCTGCGTAACTTCTCCACCAGAGGTTTTCTGAGCTGCAGAGAGAAGAACAGAGTCATTAATAAACATATTCTGGAGTAAAGTGTTAGCATTAATAAATACAACTTGTCATGAATGAAGATTGAGTCTCCTTGAATCTCCAATTTACCTTGTGGGTCAGAGTCAGATGCTCCTGAGAGTTGGTCATTGGTGCAGTGATTGTAGGTGCCATGGCTGGATCTGTGTGCTGTCGAGGTGTCTGTAGAGAGAATCTGATCTCTGCTGTCTTCATCCCTCCTATTTATAGCCCCACATCTCCATATGAATTTGTGGGTCTTGGTCTGGCAGGAGTTTCTCACTGTCTCAGCCAATGAGAGAGCCTAAAAAAGTAAAAGGACTGTTGAGCTGCCACATGCTCAGTGGTCATATTAGTAGAGGACAATAGTTAGATCTCAGGGGAACAGGTGGAGGACTGGGGGTGATGGAGAGAGACTCACAGAGCTCTGTGTGAACCTGGGAAAGTGGTGACCCTGTAGAGAGAGCAGATCTGCTGCCTGATGCTGGGATCAATGACTTTCACTGAGCACATGCTGATCATTTTGTCACACACGTGGGACAGTGAAAAATACATATGGTTACAAAATACAGTTGATATGTAACTAAATGAAATGTGTTGTGGTAGTAGAACTCAATGTTTAAACATTTTTATTGAGCCATAACCTTAAATCTAGCAAGTGACCCCTTTATTCTGTCTTAATAATGTAGTTCAATTTTCATTTCGACATTTTCCCTCTTTTCTGAGAGGGGTAATAAAATATTATTATATTATGGAAGTCAATTCAGTTGTGCATTACATAAGGCTGCAAAAGGCAAATTTCATGAACAATGATTGTGCTGCTGTCCAGATGTGGACAGTCATAAGTGTGAGTAGAAAGTTGCCCTCAGTTTCCCACACTGCCTCCATGTGCTGTGGTCAATGAGCCACAAAGCGACTTTGAATGGAGCTTGTGTGGCTGATACTGGACATGTGTTGTAGTAGGAACAGAGCCTGACGTCATCAACCATCTGGAGGGAAAGAACACCATTGGTTGTCTTTGACAGTTTGCAAAGTTTAAAAGTATGATGACAGTTTTATCATAAATGTCAGCTCAAGATATTTGGCAGATTATTGAGTCAACTTTCTATCACTGTCACACATTTTGATCGTCTAATCATAACTGTGCCTTTTATCAGCAAGTGAATCAAAATTTCAGCTCTACACATGAGGCTGGGAGGTTGAGGCAGCTGTTTCCTGAAGTGTGCCAAATCACTTTGGAGAATAGTCGGCTGCTGGTGGTGTCAAGGATGCTAATCAGTGTAACAACTCTTCTCTCCAGAGCTTTCCCACACTCTGTGCATTAAAAGACATGAGGGCTTTGACTAAATCCAGAAGAACCTTTTGAGGCTCCTCTTTTGGTTTTAAATTGAAATGCTCATCATGTCTTTATTTCCAAATATATACAATCAAAATCTGGAGTAGTGGAATCTGTTGGGGAAATCACCTATGACATTCCAAAACTTTAAAAACCTGTAGTGTAAAAATAACCAATATGCACTGAATTCAACTTGTGATACTTGGCTGTAGTCATATTCTTTCAGTAAAACACTGACCTCCCTTTTTTATTAGTAAATAACCTTGTTTTTTCCAATGTCTCTTTTTCAGTGGCCAAATCTCAGAAGGTTGTAATACTGAAATGTTGATTAAATTAAACAAACATAATATATTTGAAAATCTAAATAACAACCTCCTTTTATACTTTACCTAATTGACAGAATGTTTTTCAATGATTTTGCTTAGTCTCAACTTTAGGAAATGGCAATAATGTGAAACTGGTGAAGGCCATTTTACCACAATCAAAAAAAAAAGGTGAAAAATTGATACATGACTTAATAACGGATCAATAAGTTCCATTTTGTGATTCAGCGTCCATTTTAATCTCTGTGTCCTCAGGGCAAAGGTCTGGATCTATTGTCCCACAGGGCTCTGTGAGTGAGTTTCTTCTGGTTTCCCACACTCTGTCCTTTCAGTGGAGGAACAATAGAAGTGTGTCCTATTATACGTCACATTAGATACACTATGTGAGATCTTTAAATAGGGAAACTGTTAACTTAAAAATGAATACACACAGTTCTACTAAAATAATGGTGCAGCAAAAGTGTCAGACACATTTTCTCATTTGGTTAGATGACTTACTTCAAATATGACATAAAATTGTTAATCCCTCTTCATCACGAATCATAATCAAACTTGTTTACTGTCTTTATATTTACACTAAACATGCTTGTTATGAATGAACTGGTACTGTGTGTGCTGAATTTCATTTTGATGTGTCATTGAAAGGTAGGAACACTGATGGAGACTTCTATCAATTTAGAGAAAATGAAAACAAAGTAGGATGTCTGACTTTCATCATTATGAAACAGATCACAATGACAATGACAATGACATGGAAACATTTTCATCTTACAAAGTTTGTTTATTCAACAAGGCACAATGAGCCACAGCAAGTATGAAAGCTCCAGAGGTGATGATACATCACAACAACAACTTGTAGATTCCTACAAGACACACTGTACTCAGAGAGAGTAAGGGAACAGCTGTCTTTATAAAAGACAAACATTTTACAATATTGGAGGACACTGTAGTCACTCTCCTTTGAGAGTTTTTTTCCAAATGGATTAAACTTTTGTGATTACTGAACAAAAGAAACAGTTCAAATTGACCTCACAACAGGTCAGATTCTTAATAACCAAAAAATGTAGTTCATTCTCAAAAGTAAAACTTATATTGTCACTGGAAAACTGTGACAATGTGACATTAAAGAAACCTTTTACAATAAAAAGATTAACATGTTGATCTTAAAACAGATCAGTTTTGAATAATCACATAAAGTGAGAAAAAGTCAATCATGACAAAATGTCCATAAACAGGACAATTAAGATGTTTGATCAAAATGATCAATAGTACTGAAGAGGCAACAAATATCACTGTTGCATTATATTTTACCAATACATGACACACAGTGAAGCCCAAACATATCACAGTAAAATTGTGATATTTAGCAAAACTTAAAAAAAAAAGAAAAAAGAATAAACATTTGGACCTTACAACAGATCAGTTTTGAATAATCAAAGAGATTAAAATATCGTAAACATCAATTATGACAATATGTCCATAAAAAAGGACATTCAGTAGTTTTTTTTATCAAACTGATCAATACCAATCAAAAGATAACAAATGTTACCATAGCATTATACACCACGATACATGATGTATTGTGAAGTATGATAATAATAATTGCTGATGCAATTATATTTGATTCATGCAACATGCATGATCTCTTTCTTAACTTGAAAGATATTGTTGTTGTCATTTCCATTAGGAAATCTCATCTTACACAAAGAAACACACAAAATACAAACTACAGCCTTCTGTTCATACAGAAGAACAAGTCCTTAAATTTCATAGAATTCAGTTGCAGTAATCTTTGACCAACATGGTCACCTCAGTTTGTCTAGTAGTAAGTCCAGTCTGTAAGTGTCTACCACGGCCTCCAGAGGGCGCTGTTGACTGGACTGTTCTCTTTGGTGATGCTGGTCTGGACTGTGGAGCTCAGGAGAGAGAAGTCAGCCTCCATCAGGTTTTTATCAGAGGAAGACTGCAGCTTGTTGACAAGGTTCAGCAGTCTTCTCTGCTGTTGATTCTGCTGCTGCAGCTGTGTCAGGAAGCAAACGATCATCTCCAGGATGTCTGCTTTCTCCAGCTTGGAGTCTGGCTGCTGTTTGAGGAAGTCTGGACCCAGCAGAGACTTGAGCTGCTCGATGCTGCTGTTGATTCGCTCTCTGCGTAACTTCTCCACCAGAGGTTTTCTGAGCTGCAGAGAGAAGAACAGAGTCATTAATAAACATATTCTGGAGTATAGTAAGTGTTAGCATTAACAAATACAACTTGTCATGAATGAAGATTGAGTCTCCTTGAATCTCCAATTTACCTTGTGGGTCAGAGTCAGATGCTCCTGAGAGTTGGTCATTGGTGCAGTGATTGTAGGTGCCATGGCTGGATCTGTGTGCTGTCGAGGTGTCTGTAGAGAGAATCTGATCTCTGCTGTCTTCATCCCTCCTATTTATAGTCCCACATCTCCATATGAATGTGTGGGTCTTGGTCTGGCAGGAGTTTCTCACAGTCTCAGCCAATGAGAGAGCCTAAAAAAGTAAAAGGACTGTTGAGCTGCCACATGCTCAGTGGTCATATTAGTGGAGGACAATAGTTAGATCTCAGGGGAATAGGTGGAGGACTGGGGGTGATGGAGAGAGACTCACAGAGCTCTGTGTGAACCTGGGAAAGTGGTGACCCTAGATGTAGCCAAGGAGAGTAGAAATGTTGTGAAACCAGTTTTGAACTTTTAGATTTCATCCAAATTTCCAAGAAAAAAAACACTGATTATAAAATCTTCTTCCAAAGGCCATTATTTTGAATTCTGTGAATATGTTGCAGCTTTTTATGACATTTCACTGTATTTTAATGCTAAAACTCCAGATAATCTAAACTTTTTGAATCGTTATGTATCAAACTTTAAATGAAACTCTTTAAATGAGATGAAGTTATAATAGGGTGACATTGTTAAGCACTTCACGTCAGCAGTGTGTGTATGTTGTGTGTGTGTGTGGGGGGGGGGGCAGTGTGGTTTACTTCTTGCTACAGATTTGTTGTACATTGAAATACGGAGAACCTTTTTATCTAGGACTTTGAGGAAGTTGATGAAAACCCTGGAGCTGAAACATTACAACTTTTATCATTCTTTAATCTCTGCGTGAATCCTTTTTTTCTATAGAGCATCTGGTTTTACATTCATATTCTGTGACCACTGAATGGTTATTTATTTTAAAGACTAAATCATTTAAAAAATCTTTTGCTAACTAGATTTTGGGGTCCTAGACCCTCAAGGGCCCCAGATTCATCTTCCATCTTGTGACTCTGTTGTCCTTAGTTATTTTAGTTTACATTGATCTCATTTGTTTTAAAGTTCTGTTATTATCAAATTGTTTTTTTTCTGTGTCAAATATTTGCACACACACACACACACACACACACACACACACACACACACACACACACACACACACACACACACAAATCTTGGGCAAGGTGGTATTATTCCATCACAGAAGTAGAATTATTTTCCTTATCAATATGTCTGACAGTCATTTTCTTTAATAATCACATGGTTGTTCTGTGTATAAAATATCAGAAAACAGTGAAAATGTCCTGAAACCCATGTGAATATATTCTGATGTCTTGTTTAATCTGACCACCTGCCAAAAATACACATATATTGAGTAAAATAGCAAATATTCACGTTCACGTCATTTTTTTATTTTTTATTTTTGGCATTTTTCAACATTAATAGCAACATCCATGCAACAGCGCCCTCCTGCGGTCCGAATGTGGTGTAACACCTTGAAAGGTGAGTGATTACTTTTGAATATCACATGAGAGGGGGAGTGATGTTGTATTTAAAATCAGCATGGCTGTGATACCGTCGTTGACTTGTCATTGTGTTTTCAGTTCATCAAAGTTAGCTCCAACATGTTGTTTGCCTGAAAGTGTCTTGTCTGCCTTTGTGATGTCATCATCCCGTCGTCATGCTGCTATAGCCTGCCAAGGCCCACCCATGTGTCCTGCAGTGTGCCCTTGCCCCTTTCACACCTGAATTTGAATTCTACTTGTAACCTCAGTGTCACACACTTGCAGGAATTCTGAGCACCACGTTTTACACTTTTGTGCTTTGTACTGTATGTGTACACAGACATTGACAGAAGCTCTTCCTCTTTCAGTGTCTTTGTGTTGCTTCACCACTGTTTTTATACATATGTATATCTATAGATATATATACAGTATCTATAAATCTCTGCAACAAATTCTTCACATGTATCATTTGTTCAGATTTAGTCAAAGTCTTGTTTTTATTACAGTATATGGTAAATGAAGTTTAAATGGATGATTGATACATCTTTTATCTTCTGAAGTCCTTAGAATGCTTCAAAACATTTCATAGTCAAAAGAGGAGCTGCTTATGTCCTTATCTTTCCTTTTGTGTTTTTATAGGGATGGCAGAATCCACCTCGGGCCAGAACCACACCTTGCCCAGCAAGAAATGGTAAGTCATGCACATTACTCCACCCCATACATTTAGGCTCAAATCACTCAGTTCATTTCTGTTAAAAGCAGTTTTTATTTTGTGTAATTGCATTTCCACACAGATCATAGTAAAATGTTTAAGATGAGTTAAAATGATGTTCTGTTTATTACATTTAAGTTGTTGTCATATCAAATGCATCAGAAAACAATGTTGATATGATTATTAATATTTGGCTTGAATATTAAAATACTCGTTTGGAAACTTGCTGTGTGTGATTTGTTAAGGAAACAAAACTGTAACAATACGTGTACCTTGGCTCAAATTAGGGTCAAAATGATTTTGAGCTTGTAAAGTGATGTTCACAAATAATTCCAATGTTTGTAGTTGTAAATCAACCTTTGTAAACCTGTAAGATAGATCTGCTTGAGAAATTCAAGTTTGCGTATGTGAAACAATTGCGCTTGTGTCAAAGAGATTTGTATTTGTTGAAAGTCTGAATCAAAACTCCACAAATGATCAGTGTTGAGGTTGAACAAAGACACTGTAAATGAAGAAATGGATTTGTCAACATCTGTGTTGCGATACAGAGCAGAAAACTGTAAAAACGCTGGTCAAAAATTCCCACAGTGTGACACTGAAGTGACAAGGATCAAATTCAATGACAATTCATACTTGTCAGTGTCACACACTGTTGCACACTGAGTTTTCCAGTTTTCTGATTTTGATCTCTGTACACAGACGTCCACAAAAGCTTTTCTTCTCTTCCTGTGTCTTTGTTTAAGCTCACCACCGATCATTTGTTCAGTTTTGATTTGACACTGTCTCAACAAATACACATCTCTTTACCTCAAGTGCAACTGTTTCACATATTGAAAACTTGAATTTTTCATGCAGATTTATTTTCCAGGTTTACAAAGTTTGATTTCCAACTACAAATATTGGAATCCAAATCCCTCTGGACAACAGTTGACTGCTGATGTGGTTAACCATTTCAATCTAACATCTCAAAACAATGAATTCAGTAATTAAAACTCTACCAAAACTGAATCAATTCCAGGAAGTGGCAGTGCAAAGGCAATGATACATCAAAAGCATCAAAAATATCCAAAATTGTTGGAAGTCATGAAATATTGCACATAACATAACACATAAAAAAAAAAACATCCACTCAAATACTGTACATCTAATTTTTCTTACTAACATATGTTTTTTTTCGTTGAGACTGCATATAGCTATCAAGATATTGTCATTATAAATTACTAGACATGCTTCAATTCATATTTCCTGTGCATGGTTCCTGTTGTTAGTGTCTATGATTATGTAATATTAATTCTGAAACATATGAGCAAGGATGCATTGTGATACCACCACATCCTTTCTTAACCTGTGTCTCTCCAAGGTAGAGGTCTTGATCTTTTGTTCCGCGGGACTGTGGGAGTCACTTTTCTCTGGTTTCTCACAGTGTGTCCTTTTTAATGAGGAATCAATACAAGTGTCTCAGCCTTTTGAAATGTTTTAACTATAAACCAGTTCCTCATAGAAGACCTGGAGCTGATGAGTGCACCAAACACTTTTTTTTTTTCATCTAAATATTGTCAAAGGCACATTGAAAATTTGAGAATTGAGTTTGTTGATAATGATCCACTCAAATACATAATCCACATCATAGACCGAAGTGGATTATGTCAGTTCATCAATCTAATTCAACTACTTTTAGATTTCAAATAATATAGGTATTTTATGAAGTGGTTAATATTATTCATTTGATCTAAATTTAATAAATCTTAACACAAGGTCCACTTAGTCTTTCCAGATATTCCAACCACATCTCATAAGTAAGTACACGTAAGTAACCTCTTTGCTTTGATGTGTCCGTACCGGCGACAGCCAGGCATTATGTTTTTGGGTTGTCTGTCCGTCACATTCTTTTGAAAGCGATAGCTCAGTAACGCTGTGAGGGAATTTCTTCAAATTTGGCAGAAACATTCACTTAGACTCAAGAACGACCTGATTAGACACTTTTTAGCCATAACTCAAGACTTCACATAGCAATTATGACAAAACTTCACACAAATGGTTAATGTTTTATATGATTCTGTATAAACAGGGATATAATCTAATATTAGTCTGAGTGGCACAGACATGAAACGGTGAAGCCGTTACTAGTTTTGTTCTTGGAAGAAAAGTGTTACTTTTATAAATGAATTGCATCTGCACCTTTATAACATGATCAGATATTGTCATCACTTACTGTATTTACAGGAAAGAGACCAACCATTTTCTTTAAGTGGATAATTGATATCAGCAGCTTTTATCCAAAACTTGGCAACAACCAAAAAAAAGGTCCATGATATATTTATGTAATGGTCAAAAAAGGAATGACCCACCATACATTAATGTTTATGTTAATGTATTATGTATAGTGAAGTCATGTGGGTCCTGGCCAGTAACGGAAGAAGGGACTGTTAATGGTAATCTGTTGTTAGGTAATGACTAAAGCAACTCAGAGTTTACTGCTCATGTCTGACCATAATTATTTTCCACATTTCAGGAATTTGTTGTAAACACATCACAATCGGTGAAAACATCAAACCACAACATCATAGCTAATTAAAATCTCTTTATTACAATCACATGTACATCATCATATTCCAAAAGGCTTTCTGTCATGAAAAGTACCCTTGCACAGACAGATGGAGGTGGTGTTGCGGACTGGATGGAGGGATTGTCAGATGGAGTAAAACAAGTGTTGAGTTCCCCAGCAGCAAGCGTCTCCGCTCCAGTGTGCTTTTAATTTCACATCACATGAGGACAGCAGCGCTATTTTCAGCTCTCTGAGTCCTTGTGTAACGTAAGCAAAGAGAGTGATGGGGGGCGGGTGGGGAGAAAAAATTCCCTCTTTGTCATCCATTATTCAAACTGTTTGAGTCACAGCTGAGAGAGAGGGAAAACATGGAAACAAACCAGGTGGAGGT